ACCTGCACGCTTGTGCGCGGTGCGTTCGAGCGAATACAAGGTGAGCCCCTCCCGATGGAGCAGCGGCAGGCCGTGGTCGACGGCGCTCACGCCGCGTGGCTACGCGCGGCTCGCCTCGACGTTGGTGGAGTCGTCGACGCGGCGCCGCAGGGTCTGGCCTGCTGGGGAGGCGGCTTGTCTTTCGTCGACAAGCCCCTGGACGCGGTGCTGGCCACGCCCAAGAACACCAGGGCAAGGGCAAGCACGGGCAAGCACGGGCACGCGCTGGCTGAGCGGTCGGCTGCACACACTGGCAGGCCTGATTGCTGCTTCGCATAGGAAGGAGCCAGCGCGATTGCGCGAGGCCCTCCAGCAGCGTGAACACTTTGCGTTCCACTACGACAAACAGCCCGACTGGGCCGACTGGCACGCGCTCCTCGGCCACCTGCGTGACGACATTAAGGCGAGCTTGGCAGCTTGGGCCGCGGAGGCCGCCGGTGGCCGTCCGCCTCGGCCCCGGCCGCCCGCGCCCGCGCGCGGCCCCGGCGCGGCCCGCGCCGCGACGCCCCGCGCGGCGCCGGCGCCCCGTCGCAGCTGGTGGCCCGACCTGTTCGGACCACCCTCGATGGCGAGCTCGACCCGTACGCCGACCCGGAGTCGGCCAGCCAGGGCGGCTTGGCGGTGGACGGCGGCCCCGGCGGCGCAACCAGCGGCCCCGGAGCCGCTCCCGTCGGCCTTGCATGCGGGCGGTCCCCCGCGCCGGGGGGGGACTGGCCGCCCGCGCGGGAAATGGCCTGGCCGAACTCGGCCAACCCGCGCGCGGGCCTCGCGGGCCCCCCGGCGGCGCGCCCAGCAGCCCCAGAGGCGTTCCCGGCGGCCTTGGCGGCGGCCTGGTCGCAGGCGTACCTTTAAGGATGCGTCAAGGTACGCCTCAGCTGCGCCGCCCCCGGCGGCCCTGGCGGAGGCCGCCGGCGCGGCCTGGGTCGCGGGGCTCGGCATGGCGCAGCATGCATGGGTGCTCAAGGTGCTGGCGGCGACGGCCGAGCGCCTTGGCAGAGAGTAACTCATGGGCGCGCGCTGCAGTGGGGCGGCCTGGAGGGGTGCCCTGCGGGCCGACTTGGCCGAAGGCGCCCCGATGCTCCACCTCTGTGCCAAGGGGCCAGGCAGCGTCGACCCCGAGATCACGGTGGCTGCGCAGGCCGTTCACGACAGGGCGGCAGACCCTGTGGCGCTGTTGGCGCAGTATCGTGGTGACTGAAAGCGGCACTGGCGCGGGCTCGAGCCTCCGCCGGCGGCCCGGCGAGCTCCAGCAGGCCCTCCGACGCCTCGGTGACGGAGGACGGGCAGGGCTACGAGCACCTGTACGTCACAGCCGACGACGTCGGCAGGTCGGCCAGCCGCTTCAAGCCGCCCCAGCAGGGACCCACCCTCGACGCCTCGGCTGGCTCGAGGACCTCGACGCCACTGCCGCCCCGCTGAATGTGGTGACGGCGTCGGGCGTGCTGCCCACGCGCAAGAAGGAGCTGATGTCGGCGCAGTACCCCCAGCCTTTGGGTGGTGGGACCGGCTCCCCGCGCCGCGGCTCACGCGCCTCCTGCCTCCTCTGACGGCGCGGGCCTTTTCTCGACGACGGCGCGACGACGCGCCCGCCCGCGCCGCGCGCTTCTCTCCCCGACTGGCGCCCCGCGCTGCAGCTGAGGCGCCCGCTGCCTCGCGCGACGGCGCGGGCTCCCCCGACGGCAGCGGCGATGGCCCAGCATCGACGACGACAACGACGACCGCGACGACCACCATTCAGCGACGGCCAGGACGTCCGAACACCCCGCGGAACACGGCAACCGACGACCTGACCCGGAGCACGCCTCTTCCTCACGACGAGCAACCAGCTGGAGGTCTTTCTCCAGCCCCTTCATGACATCACCCGCGCCGCGAGCAACTCCAAACCCTACGACCCAAGCCACCACTACGACGGCCTACAGTGCCTCTACCCCTCTGGAATATTGAGGGGGGGATGGGTCCAACTTTGAAGTTGCGAGTGTATCTGGATCACATTTAAAACCTTCCGCTCAAGAGATCTGTTTATCTACCTGTCGAATTCATGACCTATCGCAGTACATACACCGATCGCACTGCTAATGTATACACCAACCTATGTGGCGAGATCACGGTCAATCGATCGATCGATCTCACGATGTGAAAATATAGACTACCAGATGATGTACGTATGCAGTGGTTTATCAGCGATCTGAAGGTCCCTCTGTTGTTATATATAAGCACGTTTATACATACATACGTATACATGCGCGTCGACCGATACGGTTATCATGTATATGGCAAAGACGTTGTCTATCTACCGATCCCACTGTCAACCTGCCACTCTGAGTTTGAATGAATGTATATACCGAACTGCCGATCGGCCTCGCAATCTTCCCACCGACCTCACTATCTACCAATCCATCGATCCCACGATCTACAAAATGACACACACACACTGACCCATCAATCAAACCGTATCAATATCAATGGATCGATTCTGAGACCGACAGATCGATGTCAACCTTGACTAGTTTGGCTGTTTTCCTGCCCACCTAATGATTCATATGATACCTCGCGATCCACCAGTTCATCGCACTACCTATGTACCAATACCACTGTCAGCCCGCGTCCTCTCCTAGATGTGCTTCCACACCCAAGTCCGCACACGACTCGGTCGTACCCACACTGAACCGACGTTCGTCTACAGGAGCCCCCGCAGCGTCACATGCCCACGCCGACCCGCCCCGACGAAGCGTCAGTGGCCGCCGCGCATACACCGACAACGACCTCGACCGTGTCCATCCGCTACAAAAGAACTCCACCCGGACCCAGCCCACACCCTGCTGATAGCGCGCGACGAGGTTGGGCCCCAAGAGAGCATCGACTGGCATGCCCTGCATTGCGGATGGCATGTTTCGGAAACGACGTGTTCCGCGCGATTTGGACGCACAGCAAGCGCTACCCAATACGGAGGCGAGCAACTATGTCATGAATGCGAACATGAGGTAATGGCACTGTGCACGGAACGTAGGTAACGAAGACAAGACTGATACTGCACATTGGCTCTAACATAACTCATCGTCGACGTCGGCAGACGTTGCCTGACGCGCACGGTACGACCAGAGCACATGCACGACACCTGCAAGCACGGTGCACGGTGACGGGGAACAAGGTGGTTGAGATCGAGCTGCGCCTGCAGGTCGCGAGAGAGACACGGGGCGTGATGGGGGCAGCGTTGGCACGAGCGCGGGCCTTGTCGACTTAAAGCGAGAGCTGTTCCTCGGCACGGTGATGCAGAAACGCCTCGCGAGACTGGAAGCCTGGATTAGCTCTTAGTCCGAAACTACTAAGCTCGACGCGATCGTGGTTTACTACCTGCGCGAGCTAATGAATGGACCAGCAGCGAACTGGACTGGTCCCCAAATCATGACGCGCAGGAAGTGCAACTCCTGAGTCGCGTGCATCGTGAAAGAGCCCACTCTTGCGGATACTGGCCAGCGTAGCGCTACTGCCAACCCGTGGCTCAGGCGGAACCTCTGATACTCAGGGACAGGGTCCATTATACTGAGACCACCTCTGCGACTCGACCAGGACATTAATTCATTACGGCGTTCCCGATACAAACTGGACCACCACGACGACTGCGAGCACAGTACACAGCACCTCCAAGGCACGAGGTCTGAGCTCATGGACTGCCACCATTTTACCATCGCACCCGCGCCATTTTTTATCACGACATGCCAGTGCAGATAACGGCGCCTGGACGACAGCGAGCCTTGGCGTGGAGCACCACCACTCTGAAGGTCACAGGCAGGAACCTCCACCACGATGGCGATTATGACACCCGAGCCCCATACCAAGACAGTGCCGATGCAGACAGTGATCACCTCAACGACTACGAGTACGACGTCTGGGACGCCCACACTTCACAGGGTCCACGTGCAAAGTCATCCAAAACGACTGCGATGATCAACTATGGCATCCCAGACTGATGCCAGGAAAATGCCAACACCTACAGCGCCCCACCGCGGCTGCGAGTATCCACCGCACTACCCCGCCCTACCTCCCCTCGACCATGCCCACGGAAAAGCGATCTCCAAACCTATCGCGACATAGTCGACAACTGTTAAAAAACATTCCGCACTTCCACCAAAACGCAACAACGTGTTTGATTCACGCTCATGACAGAACCGGACCCCACCACTTCAGCACGACAATGTACACGCCACCTCCGCACGACGCGAAACGCGACCATTGGGAGGCAAGTCGTTTCAAATAGATGGCTCTCCTCCAATCCTTGGCTCCACTAGAGGCTGTTCTCTTTACCAATCCCTATACTGCCCATTCCGCGATTTCATGTAGCCGCACATCCGACCTCATTTTCTCATGGCCCACGTCAACCATGCCCCGCGCTCAAACCGAGAAAGCCTCTCCTCATCCTTCGCCTCCTGCTCCTCCTCCATTGTCCTCCTCCTCCTCATTCTCCTCCTCCTCCTCCTCCTCCTCCTCCTCCTCCTCCTCCTCCTCCTCCTCCCCCTCCTTATTTCTCCCTCCAACACGCGGCCACGACCTAATGACGCCAAGTTCGCTTCACGCTGACGTCGGCGCTGACTTCTCACACCGCGCTGCATCAACCTTGAATGATCGCAGCTGTCCGATAGCGCAGATCGCTCGATATCGCACGATTCCAGGCCATTGGCGGCGTCCAAGAATGAACGCCCAAGCCAAAATCGCCGCCGGGTCAACGCGGCGCAAACCTACCGTACTCCATCCGCGCTCTGCGTCCCCACCCCCCCGACGAGATTACATCCTCCGCGGGGGCCCTGTGGCGTGGCGCAGTCACCCCTGCGCCTCGTCCACCAGCGGGGGTCCCGCCGTCGTCGTTCCCGCCGTCGTCGATCAGGCCGTGGCGGCCACCAGGGAGGCAGCCAGGCAGTCGTCGACCTTCGTGTTGTTGACGCACCCCGAAAAGCTGGGGCTCGCAGACGGGCACGGGAACGTGCCCCCCGATCCCAACGCCGGCGGGCAGCACTGGTCGCCCGCGCACATGCTGCTGGACCCTGGGCACTGCACATTGGCTCCCGGAGCGCAGGTGTTCGCCGTCGTCGTCGTCGTCGTCGTCGTCGTTGTCGTGGCCAGGCAGTCGTCGACCTTCGTGTTGTTGACGCACCCCGAGAAGCTGGGGCTCGCGGACGGGCACGGGAAGGTGCCGCCGGATCCCAGCGCCGGCGGGCAGCACTGGTCGCCCGCGCACATGCTGCTGGACCCTGGGCACTGCACATTGGCTCCCAGAGCGCAGGTGCTCAGCTCCACCAGGGAGGCAGCCAGGCAGTCGTCGACCTTCGTGTTGTTGACGCACCCCGAAAAGCTGGGACTCGCGGACGGGCACGGGAACGTGCCGCCAGATCCCAGCGCAGGCGGGCAGCACTGGTCGCCCGCGCACATGCTGCTGGACCCTGGGCACTGCACATTGGCTCCCGGAGCGCAGGTGTTCGCAGTCGTTGTCGTCGTCGTTGTCGTCGTTGTTGTCGTGGCCAGGCAGTCGTCGACCTTCGTGTTGTTGACGCACCCCGAAAAGCTGGGGCTCGCGGACGGGCACGGGAACGTGCCGCCGGATCCCAGCGCCGGCGGGCAGCACTGGTCGCCCGCGCACATGCTGCTGGACCCTGGGCACTGCACATTGGCTCCCAGAGCGCAGGTGGTCGCCGTCGTTGTCGTCGTCGTCGTCGTTGTCGTCGCCAGGCAGTCGTCGACCTTCGTGTTGTTGACGCACCCCGAGAAGCTGGGGCTCGCGGACGGGCACGGGAACGTGCCCCCCGATCCCAGCGCCGGCGGGCAGCACTGGTCGCCCGCGCACATGCTGCTGGACCCTGGGCACTGCACATTGGCTCCCAGAGCGCAGGTGCTCAGCTCCACCAGGGAGGCAGCCAGGCAGTCGTCGACCTTCGTGTTGTTGACGCACCCCGAAAAGCTGGGGCTGGCAGACGGGCACGGGAACGTGCCGCCAGATCCCAGCGCAGGCGGGCAGCACTGGTCGCCCGCGCACATGCTGCTGGACCCTGGGCACTGTACATTGGCTCCCAGAGCGCAGGTGTTCGCCGTCGTCGTCGTCGTCGTGGTCGTCGTTGTCGTGGCCAGGCAGTCGTCGACCTTCGTGTTGTTGACGCACCCCGAAAAGCTGGGGCTCGCGGACGGGCACGGGAACGTGCCGCCAGATCCCAGCGCCGGCGGGCAGCACTGGTCGCCCGCGCACATGCTGCTGGACCCTGGGCACTGCACATTGGCTCCCAGAGCGCAGGTGCTCAGCTCCACCAGGGAGGCAGCCAGGCAGTCGTCGACCTTCGTGTTGTTGACGCACCCCGAAAAGCTGGGGCTCGCGACGGGCACGGGAACGTGCCGCCAGATCCCAGCGCAGGCGGGCAGCACTGGTCGCCCGCGCACATGCTGCTGGACCCTGGGCACTGCACATTGGCTCCCAGAGCGCAGGTGTTCGCCGTCGTCGTCGTCGTCGTCGTCGTTGTCGTGGCCAGGCAGTCGTCGACCTTCGTGTTGTTGACGCACCCCGAAAAGCTGGGGCTCGCGGACGGGCACGGGAACGTGCCGCCAGATCCCAGCGCCGGCGGGCAGCACTGGTCGCCCGCGCACATGCTGCTGGACCCTGGGCACCGCACATTGGCTCCCAGAGCGCAGGTGCTCAGCTCCACCAGGGAGGCAGCCAGGCAGTCGTCGACCTTCGTGTTGTTGACGCACCCCGAAAAGCTGGGACTCGCGGACGGGCACGGGAACGTGCCGCCGGATCCCAGCGCAGGCGGGCAGCACTGGTCGCCCGCGCACATGCTGCTGGACCCTGGGCACTGCACATTGGCTCCCAGAGCGCAGGTGTTCGCCGTCGTCGTCGTCGTGGTCGTCGTTGTCGTGGCCAGGCAGTCGTCGACCTTCGTGTTGTTGACGCACCCCGAAAAGCTGGGGCTCGCGGACGGGCACGGGAACGTGCCCCCCGATCCCAGCGCCGGCGGGCAGCACTGGTCGCCCGCGCACATGCTGCTGGACCCTGGGCACCGCACATTGGCTCCCAGAGCGCAGGTGCTCAGCTCCACCAGGGAGGCAGCCAGGCAGTCGTCGACCTTCGTGTTGTTGACGCACCCCGAAAAGCTGGGACTCGCGGACGGGCACGGGAACGTGCCGCCAGATCCCAGCGCAGGCGGGCAGCACTGGTCGCCCGCGCACATGCTGCTGGACCCTGGGCACTGCACATTGGCTCCCAGAGCGCAGGTGTTCGCCGTCGTTGTCGTCGTCGTCGTCGTTGTCGTGGCCAGGCAGTCGTCGACCTTCGTGTTGTTGACGCACCCCGAAAAGCTGGGGCTCGCGGACGGGCACGGGAACGTGCCGCCGGATCCCAGCGCCGGCGGGCAGCACTGGTCGCCCGCGCACATGCTGCTGGACCCTGGGCACCGCACATTGGCTCCCAGAGCGCAGGTGGTCGCCGTCGTTGTCGTCGTCGTCGTCGTTGTCGTCGCCAGGCAGTCGTCGACCTTCGTGTTGTTGACGCACCCCGAGAAGCTGGGGCTCGCGGACGGGCACGGGAACGTGCCCCCGGATCCCAGCGCCGGCGGGCAGCACTGGTCGCCCGCGCACATGCTGCTGGACCCCGGGCACCGCACATTGGCTCCCGGAGCGCAGACACCCAGCACTCCGCTCGCCTGCTGCGCCACCCTGCTCTGCAGAAGAGCGGCGCCTTCCTCCTCTCCTGGGTGGCACACGCCGCCCCTGCAGGTCTCCGCGCGATCTCCAGCCTCGGCGGCCGCGAGGGCCAGCGAGGGCAGAAGGAGCGCAGCGATACGGGACATCATGGCCGCGGGAGCTGGGGCAGGGTGGACTGAGGGACTGCGTATGCTGTCGCAGGGGATCCTGCACGCGGGGCAAGTGAAGAAAATGCGGAGAGGAGGAGACAGGGGTGGGAAAGTTCGAGGAAGACGAGACAGAGGGGGAAGGAGCGGAAGGAGAAACAGCAACTCACCCCGCTCGCTGGAACCCCGGAGACGGCACAGTCTATCAGAACGTGCCCTGAGACGAGACGGCTTGAGCCAGCATGTTTGTGGACAGAGGGGGCGGGTCGGGGAGTACGCGGAGGGAGGAGGCCCCGAATCTACCGCGCTGCTTGCGCGAGGGAGTGTGGGAGAGGAAGGCATCGATGCCTCATTTCCCTCCGTCGCTCCCGCGGTTGATCTACGCAAAGCGTGACGACGAGGGAAGGCAGCACGAGGGGGATAGGAAGGGGAGGGAGAGAGAGAGAGAGAAGCGGGTAGACGCCGCATGCCCTCTGGCCGCGAATCCAGCAGACGTGGTGGCCCGCGGCAGGTCAACCCGTATCATAAGGACGCACGAGAAACATGCAAGGGCCTTGGAAGGCCACGTCGCCACTTGTCGGGCGGGGCGCGGAAAGCGAAAGCGGCCAAGGATGGGCCAGAGGGGCAGGATGCAAGGCGGTAATCTTGGAAAGGTGCTCGTCCTTCCTATACGGGTTGGCTGCATTCCCCTTCGGAGAAGGGTGCACCACCCCACCCCCCTCCTTCACCACCACCCCTCACTACTTCCCCCCTCCCCTTCAACCCCCCCCCCTCCCCCCCCCCCCGTCACCCCCCCTTCACACCCCCGTCACTTCACTCTCCCATTCACCCCCCCCCCCCTTCCCCTTCGGAGAAGGGTACTCCGCGGCGCAGTGTCTCCCCCCCCCCCCTTGCCTGTGGACCGGGATGCGGCCGGCAGCCCCGCGCGGTGGCCGCCCCGGGCCGACCACACGGAGAAGAGGAGGGGCGAGGCACGCGCGAAGGCCCTTGCCGGGCGGAGCCTCGGACGTGAGGGCTGTGGTGGGGGGCCCCCCCCCCAAAAAAAGAAGAGGCGAGCTCCTGGTTGGGGCCCTCTTGGAGCTCTGGGGGTTGGGCCGCTTGCAGGCGCTGCTGGACCCTGGAACCCGAGGGGCCCTCCAGGGGCAATCCTGCGATCGGCATGGCGTCAGGTTTGTACAGGTGGTCCGGCTTGCCTTGTCGCCACGATGTGCAACGATCCTGGGGCGGGGCTCACGCGCGTCAATCTGGGTCTGTTTTGGGCCCTTCCTGGGCCCTGCTAGGACTTCTCTCAGGCGATATTGGGGCCTCCAGGTGCTGTCCCAAGCTGCTCCCAGGAGCCTCCCAGGGGCTCAGCATCACACAGATGTCTCAGTGTGTTCCATTGACCTTGCCTCTTTGTGTTGTCGGGCTTCCATCGTGAAGCTTGGGCAAGGCCTCGAACAGGTCTCCAAGTTGGCCATCATTTAGGGCTGTGGGCTGATCCTGCTTCTTTACGCTCTGACGAGTACCTCCCCTCTTGGCTTTACGTTCTCTTCCACGGCACGTCTCAACACAAGCAGCTGCCAACAATGACACAACATGGGCCAACAAAATGCGCGATGCGTTACATTCAGCGGGACCCTTGTGGGAGCGTAGCGAGAGCAGGGCGGCCTAAGCCGTGCCAAGCACAACACGTTCAATAATGATGAAGGTGTGACTTGCTGGCCAGTACGGACCCCAAACAGTGAGCTGTTGCACTGTGAAGGTGGAAGCTCTGCGGTGCAAGTTACGTGATGTAAGCTGTGACGCGTAAGCTATACGGCGTGAGTTCTGAAGATAAACGCTATGCGCGGTGCTACATGAGAATGTAAGCATATATGCGTGCATGCGATGTAAGCTATGGCGTGTGATAAGTGTGAGCTGGAGGTGGCAGCAATGCAATGTAAGCCACGGTAGAGGGAAACAATTACTGAACACTCCCCCACCCCCCAACCTCACTGTTGGCACGCGCGAGGGAGACTGTTGTCGAAGTACATCTCATCAGACCCACCGCCAACTTTGAACATTGGGGGGAGGGGGAGCCGTTGACACATGAATGTGGCATGACTGTTCGCTAATTTGTTCCGAGGCCTGTGGGTATGTTGCCCTGCATGTGGCTGCCCTCGAACTGATTGGGTCGCAAAAAAAAGGAAGAGGTACACGGGGAAATGTTCGAGGGGAGGACCAGGGAGGAATCATCTCAATCACTACGAAAATCACACCGTTAACCGTGGACTTACCCCGGACTGAGTCAGACAGGGGCAAATCAAACTTGACACCTTGTTGTTGAATTTTTACGACGAACCTCGGCGGCGGCCGACTGACAGCGACCACGACGTCCGGGCGCCGCGCAAGAAACGGCCAAAACGGTTGCATGTTGTTATGTCTAGCGCCCCCCCAACGGCCCCGGGACCCCTCCCCGGAGGCGCCTCGCGCATCCCACCCTATTTTTCACGCATTACTCGTACCACTCGTCCCATCACTCCTTATTTTTCGCATATTACTCATATCACTCGTGGGAACAAAAAATAAGTTCAAGACTCTTATTCTTTCTACGATTGATACGATTAATATGTGAAAAATAAGGAGTGATGGGACGAGTGATACGAGTAATACGTGACAAATAAGGCGCGGGACGACCCGGGCGCCAGAACACTAAAAATGAGGAAATAGACATGCATCTGTACACATAGAAATGTACATGTGTATTGGCACACATATATCAGAATGGTTTCGCAAAAAAAACACCCGCAGAATCGCTCGGCCAACTCGCAAATGACGGGGTAAACTAAAAGATGATATCTGTGCTTTCAGCTATGGCCGTAAGCCATGTGGCGCACGCAATGCTGTGCAGGCTATATTGTGCAGGCCATGTGGTGCAAGCTACGTGGTGTAAGCTCAGCGCACGGGGCGCCCACGAGCGCCCACGAGGCAGCACCGGCGACAGCGCGGCGCAACCTCGACGGACTTGCCCGGCGCACGGGGCGCCAACGAGCGCCGACGAGGCGGCACGGGCGGCAGCGCGGCGCAACCTCGGGGGACCCACCCAACGCATGGGGCGCCCACGAGGCGGCACAGGGTGGCAACGTGGAAACAAGCCTGCGGACCCGTCAAGTTTCTGAACGCTGCAAAATGAGAACCAGTGGGTGCAAGCACTGTGTGGGGAATGCTGCGCAAGGAGGCTGCATGCGCCAATCTATCATAGAAGCGGATCCACGCATTCAGTCGGATATTCTCCGACATTGCGAAGATAACCGAGGCTGACTCAGCTGCGAAAGGGGGGCCCCTTTATACATATATATATATATAGAAAGAGAGAGAGAGAGAGAGAGAGAGAGAGAGAGACCTGTGCGCGCGCACACACACACACTTTGTTTAAGTCGACGGCTAGGCAGAGGGACTGCGCTGGCGGATAAGGAGCTGGTAGGACACACGAACGCGAATTAGGCCGTGGTGCACGGGGGGGGGTGGAAGAAGAGACGCCTGGCGGTGGCGGGAGAGAGGCGGAGGCCGGGCCCGCTCTGAGCTGGGCCAGGCGCGCGGCGGGGCGGCGCCGGGGTAGGGGCCAGCAGCAGCGGGGCGGCAGCTGGGGGGGGGGGGAAGCCGGAATGGCAGGCTGCCAGGCAGCAGGCTGTGCTGGGGGAGCAGTGCCCAGCACAGGCTGCAGGCGAAGGTGTGCACGCAGCGCCAAGGGCCAGCGGGTGCCGAGGTCACGTGACCCCCACGTGAGCACCCGGGCCGGCGGCGACCAGTACCAGACCGCCTCGAGGTGAAAGGTCGGCCTGAAAATCAGGCAAAGCAAAGAGCCGTGCGGGGCGGGGCGCAGGCGGCAGAGCCAGCCCAGGCCCCAGGGCGAGGAGGGGGCGTGGCCGGAGGGCCAATGGCGGTCCCGACGCTGAGCGAGGGCCGCGAGGGAGGGACACCGAGCCCGTGCCCGTGCCCGTGCCCGTGCCCGTACAGCAGAGGAACCACCGCGCCGAGGGAGCCGAGGTCACACGTGACCTACGAGGCGGCACGGGGCGGCGGCCAAAGCATACCACCTCCAGAGACGGAGGGTCGGCCTGAAGCCAGGCAAGGCCGAGAGAGGCGATGAGGGGGGCACGGGCGCTACGGCCAAAGGAGCCCCAAAGCAGGCGAAGACGGCGGAGGGCCGCAGAGGCCGGCGGGGCAGGAGGCGGTGGGGGGGGCACCGAACAGGTGCGCGTCAAGGCAAAGAGACCCTCAGCGAGGGAGGGCCACGGGCACGATAGAGCGGCCCTCTCGGCAGCCGAATCCCGGGTGGCCTGGCCAGGGCGCACCCCGGAAGACGACGCCCAGCGACCCCGAGCGAGGGCGGCAGAACGTCGGTCAGGGGGAGCGAGGCGACGGCGCCCCAGCCAAGAGGTTGGCGTGGCCCGCGGCACCCGGGGTGGGCAGCGGCGGGGAGGAGGGGAAGGCGAGCGGACCCACCAAGAGGAGGGTGGCACCAGCGAGCGGCGCCCGTGGCGGAGGGGGCGGGGCGAGGGCGGCAAGACCAGCCCAGTGCCTGATGCCCCGATCGGCCGGCAAGCCAGCTGGCGGGCCTGCCGGAAGCAGGAGCAGCGAAGACGTGCAGCCGCGGGAGGACTCGCAGGTGCCCCCGCCCAGGGAGGGCCGCATGCGCGGACCGGGCAGAAGGGCTCGGTAGCAGTCGGTCCACAGGGGGGAGGGCTGGGGGGAGGCAGCTGGTTCCAGCCGCCGTCCCGGACCAGGGCGCCCCGAGGCCCAGGACGTGAAGCAAGGACGGGCCATGCAGGGCGGACAAGGAGCGGCCAGGCGCGAGCAGGGCCACGGCGTGGTGGACCTCTCGGCGCCGGCATGTGTCGGGCGCGGCGGTCGGGGGGGGGGGGCGGGCCCACAGGCGGGGCGACGGGGGGGACGCACCGAGCTCGCTCACTGAAGTGAGGCGAACGGCCCGACCGAGTGGGTGACGGGCCCAGGGGGGGGGGGGGCGTGTGAACGCGGGGAGCTGCAGCTGGACCCGGATCAAGGCTTATGGTGCAGGGTGGTGGGGGGGGCCAGCCGGTGCCGAGGGACGCGCCTGGGAACGGGCCAGACCGTTTTGCTTAGTAGCGACTGGAGGATCCCAGGCACCGCTGCCTGGAGTAGTCCTTGCTGGGCCGGGCGGAATCGGCGCGCCTCTTGCCCTTTCCGTGGGGCACGGGACCGTTTCCTTTCCCCTTGCCAAGCCCGGCAGCGCGGTCTCTCCTTTGTACCTCTGTTTTCCCAGGCACGCTGCCAGTCAATCTGGATGCCCATCGTACAGAGGTTGCGGACGTCGAAGTCGGCCTCGATGAGCTGGCCTACGAAGTCCTCGCAGGCCAGTTCCCCCAGGACAGCTGGGTCGTGGGTGGATCCCTGGCGCCCTGCTTGGTGGTCGCAGACGGCGTTCCAGCCGATGACTAGCATGGGGCCGCATTCCCGCTTGAGGCGACTGACAACCTTGAGCCAGGACTCCATCCCTCTGTCGCTGTAGTTCCAGACTGGGTGCCAATTGATAGCCGGTCGCGGCTTGTTGTACAGGAAGTCGTTTGGGTTGCCGTGGGGGGTATAGAGACCCGGTAGTAGGTGGGCCCTTCGGTGGGAGCGGTCAGGTAAGTGCGCGAGGCGGTCGCTTCCTCGGGAATCGCCAGCCTCCGCGTGCCTCGGCGTGGGGGGGGGGGGCAGCCGAGGCGTGCTCGGCGGTCCGCTGGGTCTTGCGGGCAGGCTCGTCGGGGGCTTCAGCTGGCGTGGGCCCGCCGTCGGACTGCTCTGCCTGCAGCGCCTGTCCCCCCTTCTGGGCTGCGGACCCGACGCTCGACGTCTGCACGGGGGGGGGGCCGCGAGGGGCTGGGCGGTGCCGTGTCCCACCCCCTGGCGCGCGGGGCTTGCGGGTGTGCGCGGGTCGGGGGATGGGCTCCCGTCGGGGGCGTCGTCGCTGCGTGGCGGAGTGGGGAGGGCCGGGGAGGCGTCGGGAAGCAAGTCCACGGCGGCGCGTCCGGGGGGGCCCGCTCCCGGGTGCGTCCCGGTGGTCCGTGCGCAGGGGGCCAGCTCCGCCGGAGGTGCCTCCACCTGCGGTGGCGCCTGCCTCCTGTGGGGCGGGCGGCCGGTGGGCTGCGGGCTCGGGCGGGGCTGAGCCACGGTTGCTGGCGTGCTGTGTCGTCGGCGTCCGTCGTGGCAGGGGAGGCGCCAATCTTGTCGTGGATGGACCGCACACACACACACACACATAGGTCCCTCTAGCGCTTCAACGGACATCGGACCAGGCTGTTTGTGTTCAGCGTCGAACTGCAGCTAAGAAGGAGAGGGCAAGTACTAACTCTATACACATTGATGGAATGTGGCAGACATTCAGACCACCTAGAACAAAGGGGGAGAGAGAGAGAGAGGGAGAGAGAACGAGAGAGAAAGAGAGATAGAGAGAGAGAGAGCGATAGAAAAAGACAGAGAGAGAGAGAGAGAGTGAGGGTTTCTCCCCATCTGTTCGCGAGCGGTGAGCGCGTCTCCCCATCTGTTCGCGCCCGATGAGCGCTCGCGAACAGAACAGCGTGCCCGATTCACGCGCCCGCTCCCCCCAGTCGAGATTCTGCTACAGCCGCTCGCGCGAGGACATAATCAGACCGCTTGGGCACCTCTCACTCTGATCTGGTACGAGAACTCACGGGCATGAGCAAGAGCACAAAGCAGCACGCACGCACACACCAAGCAACACACGCACATATTTGTTGGCGGTAGCGGCCTCGCGCGCGGCGACGAGGCGGAGACAGTAATTACGAGTGCAGGAGCTCAAGGCGGAACCGCGGCCGGGCCCTCAGGAAACACTTTGGATTCCGCGGCACGCCCATGGACATCAGCCATCCGGGCATGGATGAAGGTGAGGGTACATCACACCAAACAACACACACATACATACCAAAGAGATCTGCTGACCCCTTGTGGGTCTCCAGGCTTGTCGGACTGGTCCCCCTTAATCGCCCCCAAAGATCCAACTCCGGAAATTTGACCCATCCCGCAGACCCGGCCCCATCCGCCAGGTGAACTCCCCAGGAGGCCTCTGGGCTCCTCCCGGGGCGCTGGGGTGGGGGCCATGACTCCCCATGGCAGCTCTGGAGGCTCCCAGAAGTCACAAAGACGGCCCACGAGAGCCCCAAGACGGTCCACGAGCGCTTTCATTGCACGCGCGACAGTCTCAAGACGAACCAAGGTGCCCCAAGGCCCCCCAAGAGAGCCCCAAGAACATGTCGTCCGAGAGGGCCTGGAGAGGCCCAAATCATGGACTTCCGATGGTTTTTGAAAGATGTCCGTGCTCTTGCCTTTTTGTCCGCCGTCCACTTCAAGACGGCCAAAGAGGCCACCCAAAGCACGCGACGGCCCAAGGAGCCCCTGGAGCGTGCCCCAAGCCGGCCCAGAGGCCCCCTACACGGCCCAAGAAGACTCCCAGACAACCCAAGCGGCCCCTGGAGGGACCCAAAAGGAGCCCAAACAGGGAAGCACGACCTGCCACTCCGAGCCCACCAACCCAAGGGGATACCCGAGAGCGCCAGCAGGCGCCCTCGAGGCGTCTCTAGAGGCCTGAAAGCGGCTTCCGAGAACCCCCCGAGAGCCCTTCCAAGAGACCCCAGCAGGCATCCGACAGGCCCCTGACCCATAAACCAGGCACGGTGGCGGGATACTGGATACCATGCGGGTCAGAGCGCGGCTCCGCGCGCGCACGTCGAAATCATGCCAAAACCATTGGATTTCGAACCAGTACAACACAGAGGTGCTCGTCAACATACCAAACCCCAGGGCGTCCCAATAAAACGGCACCAGGTTACCCAAGAAGTATCCAATCCCTCCTCCACGCGAGGCGAATATTTCCATGAACGCTCCATACAAACAACTCATCGCCAGATATGCGCGACCTGCGCCGCCCATCTCCGCCGTGCCTCTCAGGAGCCCACGAAAGTGGTGACGGCTGCCCACTTCCACAGCCCCCGAGGGAGCCGCAAGGTCTCGAATGGATCTGCGCTGCCCTCACCTCCGTCGTGCCTCCCACGAGCCTACGAAATTGGCGACGGTTGCCCACTTCGCAGCATCCCAGGGAGCCGCGGAGCCCACGAAAGTGGCGACATGTGCGCACTTCGCAAAGTCTCAAATGGATCTGCGCTGCCCTCACCTCCACCGTGCCTCCCAGGAGCCCACGAAAAAAAAACGAGTGCCGACAGGTACCCACTTCGCAGCCACCCAAGGGGCCGAGAGGTATCGGCTTGGTCTGCGTGGCCCTCGACTCCGCTGGACTTCCCAGGAGCCCACGAAAGTGGCGACATTTGCGCACTTTGCAGCCCCCCAGGGGGCCGCGAAGTGTCAAATGGATCTGCGTGGCCCCGAACTCCGCCGTGCCTCCCAGGAGCCCACGAATAAAAAAGGTGCCACGTGCGCAGTTCGCAGCCTCCCAGGGAGCAGCGAAGTCTAAAACGGATCCGCGTGGCCCCCGACTCCGTGGGACCTCCCGAGAGCCCACGTCGCAGCCTCCCAGGGAGGAGCGAAGTCTCGAATGGATCTGCGTGGCCCCCGGTTCCGCTGGACCTCCCAGGAGCCCACGAAAGCGGCGACCGTTGCGCAGTTGACAGCCACCCAGGGAGCCGCGAGGTCCTCGCTGGACATGCGCGGCCCCCGACACCGCTAGCCTTCGAGGGGCCCGCGAGAGTGGCGAGGGCCGCGCAGGTCGCAGCCTCCCAGGGAGCAGCGCCGGAGGACGCAGGAGGAGGGGGCGGAAGAGGAATGGATACCACAAAGATCGGTTCAAAGCGAGAATCCAGCACAGGAGGGTTGAGAATCCAAATTTCTGCGGGCGCGCACTTCCACATCATTCTCATCAGCGCAATCGGTACCCCGTCGGCATCGTCATCATTAACATCGTCGCCGCCATCGTTTTGACTGCCATGGTCGTCATCGTCACCGCCATCATCATCACCGTCATCGCCGATGCGGTCGCCCTCGCCAAATTTCTGCGAACGCACACGTCCTCATCACCCATAGCACCCTCAGCATCATCATTATCATCATCAGCAGCATCATTATCAGCATCCGAACCAGCATCATCAGCATCAGCATCATCAGTGGTAGCACCGCCAGCAGCATCATCATCAGCAGCAGCATCATCAGAAGCAACATCAACAACGCCACCACCACCACCAGCCACAATTAACACAACAACAGAACAGCTACAGCAGCAATAACAACAGCAACGTCATCAGAATTACCATCATGATCACCACCACCGCCACCACCATCATCATCAACGGCATCAGCATCATCATCAGAATATCACCGTCGCCATCATCATCGAATCGAACCGAATAGCTCCACAGGAGGCGGTCTTCTAGAGGGGGGCTCCTGGAATACCAGGGCCTCGGAGCATCGCTTTTCGCGAGCGGACGGAAAAATGCTGTTGTTGCTTATTTGTTTTTTTTTAATTTTCCCCGAGGCCTGGCCACTCGGGCCCAGGCCCGCGCTGTCTCCATGCAGGGCGGCCCACCAGTGTCGGCACGCAGCCAGGTGGGCGCCCCACTTCGGAGGACCGCCCTCCGAAACTCATAGCTCAGCTCACCTCACCGCGGCCTCGGGCAGGCGTTGATAGTCGGGCCCCGAACGGCATCCGCCCAGCAGCTCCCGCCCACAGCCCCTGCGAGGTGACCCAAGCCACTCCTGCCCTGGCCGGCCCTCGCCTTGCCCTTTCCCCGCCCTCCCACGACCACGACCATTCCGACTGCGACCCCGCCCTCCCGCACTTCCAGGCAGCGCGGCAGCGCACCCGGCGGGGCAAACCCCCGCTCAATCAAATCACGCAGCCTCGCTCTGCACTCCAGTCCGCTCAGGCCTTTGCCTTTCCCGCCACCGCCGCCAGGCACCTCGACGTCTCTCGTTCGCGCGGCCCCCTTGGAGCCGCGCCCGCGAGCACCTCGTCCGCCTCCAGGTCCTCGCGCAGGTCCACAAGGTCGGCCCCGCCACTGAGCCCGCGCCCTGCTTCGCGAAGGCCATCGACATCACGCCGCGCTTCTCCTCCTCACCCTCGCCCGCCCTGCTCTCGCGGTAGCGGAACTGGAGGCAGTCGCTCTCCAGCTGCTTGGGGGACCTCGCCATCACTTGCTCCTTCCAGGACTGAATGGGCATAATGTGCACCGTCGCGTTCTGGGCGGCCTGCCCCCCTTGTGGCCCCGTCCGCTTGATCGCCCAGAGGAGCGCCTTGCAGTAGAGACGGATGCGTGGGCTGCCTCGCGTCTTGAAGTCCACTGCCCCGCCCTTGGTCTGCCTGGCCTTCACCCCTTTGCTCTCCGCATCGTACTCTTGTCCTCCTTGCACCAGCTCCTCGCCCAGCATGCCCACGGCCTCGCTGACTGCCGCGCCGTCGTAGACGCACGCCTCCAGCGCCGCCACCTGCCTCGCCGTCGCCCTGGAGAGCTTCGCCGTCGCCCTGCACAGGTCGGCCATGCCTCCCGCGCACTTGCCTCAACCTCCATGATTCCCGCCGTCGCCGCCACCCCTGCCCTTCGGCTTCTTCTCCTAGGGCGGCTGCGCCCCCGATCCAAGGGCCGACGTCGGGTCCGCACCTCGCCTCGACCAGCCTGACACCCCGATGCCGTCCGCCATCGCGCAGCTGTCCAGGTCTATCCACAGTGACTTGCCAAGGGAGATGGCTCGAGCCTGAGCGCCTCCTCAAGTCGCCCCAGCTCTCGCCCTCAAACTCGCATAAGTCGCACGAAAACGAAACAGGAACTCACAGTGCCCGAATAGCTCTGCTCTCGCACCGTCCGCGCCACCCCCTCTGCACACTCCTCTCCAGGTGCTTCGCTGCTGATCTCTGACCCGCGAATACCCGATCGCAGACAATACGCTGGTCAGTTGCTGGCCAGTTCATGGCAAAGGTTACGAACGTCACGCGCACCACGCTGGCTGTGAAGCAAATGCCTTCGCGTCGGGAACCGCCCCTTGCAAACGCTGCCGTCCTCGTGCCTGACTCCGCACACGAAAATGTTGTTCAGGTCATCGTCCGTCGCAATCGGTACCCGTTTGTTCCGCCCGCTGTTCTGCCTGCTGAGCTCCAGCAGGTGGGGCGGGCACTGCAGTTCTGCTCGCGCGCACCCTGGCGAAATCCAGACCCACGAACTGTTTAGCCAAGTCTCAGTCGGCCTCAAGCTTCCACGGTGCCCTGCCGATCTCCTCGAGAATGCCAGCGCCGTCCTCCATCGAATTGACCGCCTCCAAGATGGCCGTCCCAATCCGAACTGCCAATGGAGATGCCGACTGCGACAGCCCCTCGACAGTGCAAGGCGCGGCCGCGTTGGTGCCAGGTAGATCCGCGAATAGCGTGGGGAGCAGCTGCGCATGATGCCATGGCCGTCAAGCCTACCACCTCAGCCTGCGCACCAGTAACTCCGTCTTCGTGTCCGCCAGTCCCCAGTGCGCCAGCACCTGCTCCGTCGCCATGCTCTTCACGCTGCCGTCGTCGAGCCACCTAGCGGCGCCGCCTGCCATCGCAATTCGCCCACGCTTTGCAAGGCAAAGGTCGAGCCGCCGGCGTTGAGCCTCAGAGAGTACGAAGCACTCCATGCCCGACAGGATTGCCCCCATCACTGCTCCTTGAAAATACAACTCTCTTCCAGCGCCATGGTGTAGATAAGCTCCAGGACGCGCCCATGCATTAGAAAGCTGCCCTTGCCGCCTCACACCGCCTCGGGATCTCGAACTCTGCCGTGCACATAGGGGTGGCATGGGGGCCCAGGTACCTCGCGGCGTCGTTGAGCTCGCCCTGGATGCCGTGCAAGCCCTGGCCCGTCAGCTTCAACCGCTTCGTGCAATCCGTGGAGCCCGTCCCCTGTAGAAATACGCCCGTGACCTGCTTCTCCCTGTTCTGCCTCATGCCCACTGCCCCGAGCGCCGTGTCGAGCTCGTCATCAGCCGCCCTCAGCGCGCCCACCATGTCTCTCATCGCCGCCCCTATGGCCACGAGGTGGTGCCTGCTGAGGTCGCCCGCATACTGGTGAAGCCCGAGATCGATGTTCGGCATAACTTCCCACTTGCAAACCAGGAGGTTCGCCGCCGGTTGTGTCTCTCGTAGTCGGGTGGCCCATCGCTCCGTAGGCTCCGCAAAAGGAGGCGGCGAATGAGTCCACACTGAAGGGGCCGCCCATCATCAAGCCGTCGCCGATCTCAACTGCGCGGGCCCCCTCTGGCGCAGGCAAGTCTACGACCATGTCTATGTGCCTCTGCTTGCACAAGTCCTCACCCTGCATGTCCGTGTTCTCCTCAGCTGACTTGTCCATCGCCTGCCGACTCACCGAGGCGAAAGGATTCGGGAGGTCGTTCATCGCGACCGCAAAGCTCCATCCCCCATGCTCCGGACGCCAACTGAGCACCTGAGATGCCATGATCGCTCCCTCTCGCCGTCGTCCGCGCACGAATCCGTAGTCCTGCGGCAACGCAGTGGAAGTTACTTTCTTCGAGCAGAAAGCTTCCCCAATACTGGCCAGACAATGGATAACACGTCGTCCTGCTGCTGCCGCCTTTCCATTTTGCTTGTCTAATCCCACCGCCTTGCTTCTGTGCCAGTACAGAGGTGCCAAGTTAGTTCTTCTCATCAGTAAGATACCATGGAATAGCACGTTTTTGAACAGCATCTGGTCTCCCGCCTGCCCCTCCATCCCTCCTGTCCCTGCGCTCCCCTGTAACCGAGGAGTGTTTGTAGCCTACTTTGAACAGCGTGTCCTCGATCAGCTCGAAATAGTGATCGGGTGACCCTTTCTGCAATGTGTTGTTGAAATTGATCCTCCCTCGCTGCGAACTCAGCGGCCACATCTGCAACAAACTCAGTCTTCCCAATTCCATGAGTAATAGCGTTCATCATCGCCGTAGCGTCGCACCTTCGTCTGTCCTGGGCGATGTTCTTCTCGCCCGCATGTTTCTCGCAAATTATCTCCAAAAGTATCGGCAAGTGGTCTCGTGGTGGTGTGCCCTTGATGGCCTGGACGCGTCTCCACATATCCCGAAACACATGCGCCTGTTTAGCTCTCTCTAGATATCCCTGCGGCACATAGAAGTAGTCGGTCGTACAGGACCCTCCTGGTCGGCCGCCCTTGCCACTCGCATAGAAAGTCGGTTCCTCTCGGTTCCCAAATGGTGTGGGCACCGCCAACTACTGCTCGTCTAGCACCTGCCTGATAAGTTCCCCTGCACCCCCCCTGCGCCGCTCCCTTGTCACTATATCACCCAGTCCTTCTGAATGCATCTGCTGCCATACGCCATCCAACTTCGAAGGTCCGATCCCGTCGCTGCTGTCCGCGAAGAAGTATGGCAGAGCGCGCTGTGGAATATCTCGTAACACCTGTCCCCACCAGTGTGTCAACACCTTGGCACATTTGTTGTAGGCCCCCGTCTTAACACTGTCCGTAGGCTGAACTGGGAAGTACATCGCTCCGTAGACTACGTCAAGGCAGCCCTTCTTTACCCTGATCGCCAGCGCTCGCTCCTCTGCTCCTTTCGGTGATGCCCACGTCCTGCGCATGTGTTCGTCTTGAACCCCCATTGCCCAGCATGATGCTGCAGTCTGCATGTCGATTTGCGAAATGTCCTGGCTGGATTCCTGCCTCCACCACGAGTCTGCCTTCCACTCTTTGTCTAAGAATCCCATTTCCACTCCTACTCGCTGCATTCGTACCCACTAAGATCAGCCCGTCCGTGTTTGGAGCTGCAAGGGCGAGCTCCGACAGGCGCAAGGCCGTGGATGCGAAGAGCGGGTTGAAGCCCACCAGCCGCAGAAGATGAGACGGCGCCATGCCTCTCGCCACACCCGTGAGGCCCGCCTTCAGCGTGGCCCGGGACGCACATGGCTCTCTCCTGCAGCTGTCCTCGCCCCCGTGCCGTCGCTGAAAAGGCTCGATCGCGCGGAGGCTGTCACCATCATCATCACCATGATGATCATCATCATCATCAGCAGCAACATCATCATCATCATCATCATCATCATCATCATCATCATCATCATCATCATCATCCTCATCCTCATCCTCATCCTCATCCTCATCATCATCATCATCATCATCATCATCCGCATCATCATCATCATCATCATCATCATCATCATCATCATCATCATCATCATCATCATCATCATCATCATCATCATCATCGTCGTCACAATCATCAGCATCATCCGAATCATCATTACCGTCATCACTAGTAGCAGCATCATCATCATGAGCAGCATCATCATCATCCTCGTCTCCATCACCGTCATCAGCCTGATTTACAAGTATGAGATACCCAACAACATGCACTATCATCAGCAGCATCAGCACTGTCATCATCATCATCGTCATCATCAGCATTGCCATCATAATAATCATCCCCATGATCATCGTCGCCATTGCCATCGCCGTCGTCGTCATCATCATCAGCATCATGGCCATCACCATCATCATCATCATCAGCAGCAGCATCATCATCGTCATCATCATCATCCTCATCGTCATCGTCGTCGTTATCATCATCGTCACCATCGTCATCGTCATCGTCATCGTCGTCATCATCATCACCATCATCATCATCATCAGCAGCAGCATCGTCGTCATCTGCAGCAGGATCATCATCATCAGCGTCAGCACCATCGTTAACATAATCAGAATCATCGCCAGCGTCATGGTTGCCACCTTCATTGTCATCACCATCAGTGCCATCACCATCACCATCGGCGTCGTCGACATCGTTCCGACCATCGTGCCCAGCTGATGTTTTGCCAACAACTTGTGGGTAGGCTGGATGCTTCAACGAGCATTGGAGGTGGTCATGCGCGGATGCGGTAATACTCAACTTCACTTACTGGACATCGATTGCACCAAGTAGACGTAGATTGCGTCCCATAAATTGCGCACACCGATGCACGAACTCACTGCTGACACGCTGACAAGCACTTTCATCCTGCCTACTCATCGCCACCCATGACAACCCTCCTCGCCGTTCTGCTCCTCCTAGTCCAAATGATACCATGCTACAACACGCACAAAAAATAGTTTCACAGCGGGGGTCTAACGGAATTGTCTTCCCCGATGGTCCAAGGGAGTCCCTTGGAACACTGGAGCTCCTTGCGAAGGCGAAGATTGACAGCGACACCAAATCCTACAGCAAAGTTTCCAAACTCTTGACGCCGGGGCTGCACACGTAGACGAAAGCGGGTCACGCGAGGTTTTGGGGGGCCTCTCTGGGGCCCCAACTCTGGCCGGAGCAAGCGGGCTCCCCCGGAACGCCGACCGCAGCGGCCGCGCCCACCACGTGCTCACCGGAATGCAGAAAGAGCCGCGCGCAGCCTGAATGAACTTGGCCGCTCGCCAGGGCTCCAGGCATGACAGGAGCTCCGGCAGGGTCACAGGGCGGGGCCTGCGGGGCCAGAGGAAGAAGCACGGCATAGGCATAAACGTTTGGAGGCCCGCGCGGATGTCTTGGATCTGAGCAGGGCCCACCTCCCTGGGGCGCGGAGCGCGCCAGGGGCGGCGCCGGAGGCGCCGCCAGGGGTCCCCAGCGCAGATCCAAGAAACCCGCGCGGAGCGCCAATTAAAGTTTATGCTTATGCCGTTGTTTGTTCTTCGAGCGCTGCGGCCACCTCCGCCGCCGCCGTCGCTGCCGCCGCCACCGCCATACCCGCCGCCACCGCCGTCCCCGCCGCCACCGCCGCCGCCGCCGCCGCCGCCGCGTCGTCGTCGTCGTCGTCGCCGTCGTCGTCGTCGTCGTCGTCATCGTCGTCATCGTCGACATCGTCGTCCCAACCTTCCCTGGACTTCCGACGGCTCTGTTTGTTCCACTCGCTCGCCTCTGGAGCCCTTTACCCCCCTGAAGCTCGCAACCCCTTCCCAGGGGCTGGGATTTTTTCTCGGCTGTTGTTGGCGGAGGGGCCCAGGAACAAGACCCAGGAACTGAAAACTGGCGGGAAAAAGTCTGGTACTACTTTTCGGGTCGCTAGAGGTCTCGATCGCCGTCGTCGCCGCTGCCGTCGCCGCCGCCGCCCAGCATAGCCAGAAGGGTCGCTGGGGGACGAGCCTCATGACGGCGAAGCGCGCGACCTCTGGGTCGGGCTTGAACTCCTCCCCGAGAGCGGCCGACGTCGTCGTCGTCGCCGCCGCCGCCGCCGTCGTTGGTGGCAGCGGCATGCGGGAGGCGCGAACGGCGAAATGGGAAGGAGCGAGAAACTCTGACCTCGACTCAGACGGTGCGCCTGATAGGAGGAGGCATCAGCCTAAGCATCGACTGCAGCATGCCTAGGCATGCACAACAGCATGTCTAGGCACACGGGAGAAGTCAGCCGTAGAAGCGCTCCAAGAAGCCCGTCACCTCGTTGGCGTTCCACACCCAGGCCTCGCCCGAAGCGGGCGCATCTGTCGTGGCGAGGGTGGCCTGCGCGCCAGCGCCTCGGCGCGAGACGGAGAGCAGACTGCCAGGAGATGCCTGAAGCCAGCACCCTGGGCACTGCGCCTGAGTCGGCCACTGCACCTTGGGGAAGCTCGGGTCGCCGTCCTGGTAGCGCTGCTCGATACCGAGCACGCGCATGTTCACGTTGTTGTGCGCCTGCCACCACCAGAGCTGCGCCGCGGCCTTGGTCGCCGTGTCCTTGGGCTTGACCGCGATGGTGGAGAAGTGGTGCCGGCAGTCGTCGCAGTCGAAGAACTTCAGGACCGCCTGCCGCAGCGCCTCGGTATCGTGCGCGGCGGACTTGTCGTCCGAGCGCGCCGCGACGGAGTGGAAAGTGCTCCAAAGCCCACAGGTGAAGCCGCGCTTGCCTGGCCACGTGCCGCGGCAGCTGCTCCATCCCTTCGAATAGTCCGCCCAGTTCGTGCCGCAGAGCTGCCACTCTTTCTCCAGCTTGTCGGGATCGAGCTTGAAGATTTTGGTGCCCACGCCGTCCTTGTCCCAGCGCCCCAGGGAGTTGAAGTCCGTGAGCATCCTCGACGGCAGCGCGCAGAGGGGGGGGGCGCAAAGGAGGTGACCTTGTGAGAGAGCACGTGGACTCTCACAAGGGCTCGGGGACTCTCACAAGGGCTCGGAGAGTTCCGCAGGGAAACACAAAGATGGCACAAGCATAATGTATCGGAGGTCCGCGCGGACCTCCGAGAAATTATGTCTATGCCGCTGTGGGTACTTCGAATCCAACGAGGCTTGACAGAAGGTCGGATGGCTTCTGAGAAGGCCCTCTGCCTTCTGCAGAAGGCCACCACCCCTCGCTCCACCCCCCCTTTCTGCGCGCCGCCCTCCTCTGGTGCAAGGCCTTGAGGGACGCCTTGCAGGGCGAGCCCCTGGCTGCTGACGCCTCGGGGAAACGCTCGGCAAGCACTCCAACGAAATTCACGAGGGCCTGCTTGTTGCCGCCGTCGAGCCTCAACCATGGCGGTTGCCTGCCCGAAGGAGCGAAGGTGTTCCGCGACATGGCGCCGCGGATGAACAGAGCCACCGCCAGCTGCATATCCCAAGTGTCTGCCGATTTGGGTGAAAGAACCAGCCCAGTCGCAGGCTTCATCGGCTTCCCATCCTTGAGATACATCAGCGGCATGATTTGCTCCCTCGAAGTCTTCGAAGGGTCTAGGTGGGCATTGAGCCGCACATTGATGACCTTGGCGAGTGCCTCCGCGGTGCCATCTTCTAGGTTGACCTCCTGGATCCGCCACCACGCTTGCCGCGGTATACGTCCTCCAGGCCGTTTCAACGCGTCGATTACCAACTACGGCACTCAATCCCAAGAAAGGGTTGCTTTGAGCACCAAGACTCCGCGTCTTTGGGTTTCGGATCCCGACGCTGCTGCCTTACCAGGACGTTGCTGGGACTCTCAGCGGCCCATCAGGCCCCCGAGGACCCCCTGAGGAAGGCGTCCAAAGGCCCCGAGACGACGCACGAACGGCCAAGACGGGCCATGGCCGTTTCAATACGGTCTTACATATTATCCGATCCTGCCGTCGCACTCACCAAGAATGCCCCAGGACTAACCCAAGACGGCCCCTAGATAATCCAATACTGGCCCAAGGAGGCCCAAAGACGAGCCCAAGACAGCCCTGAGACCCTCCAAGTCGGCCCCAGGACTCACCCCACAGCAAAAGACTCACCCCAGATGCTGTGTGTTATGCTGATGGTGCGAGTTCGCGGGTTCCCGTGCGCTCGAGTACCTTGCTGTCCCTCATCCTGTGTTCCCCCTGTCGCTCCCCTTTCGTCCCCCTCTGTCGGCTGCCCCCCACGTGAGACTTCGTGCGCAAAGGTTCCCTCTGGGTGAGCCCTGCGCGTTCCCCCTGGGCCGTCGGAGTGCCCCATCGCGGCCGCCGCACCACCCTCCCAGCGCCCTCGCCTGAAAGACTCCGCCGCGCCGTCGCGCGCCTGCACGCAACGCCCAAAGACTGGCGTCGCCGACACGCGGTGGCACTTGGACACGCGAGGGCGCTCACACGGACTGCCGAGTCGGACGGGGGGCACAGGAGGAGGAGAGGAGGACGACGACGAGGAGGAGGAGGAGGAGGAGGAGGAGGAGGACGAGGACGAGGAGGACGAGGACGAGGAGGACGAGGAGGAGAGGAGGACGAGGACGAGGAGGACGAGGAGGAGGAGGAGGAGGAGGAGGAGGAGGAGGAGGAGGAGGAGCCTGGGGGCACGAGGCCCCGATCGCTGTCGCCCGGCCCTGCGTGCGCGCGCCTCGCCGCGCTTCACCCCGGCCGGTGCTCGGCGCCTTCGGCTCCGGCGTCTCCGAAGGGGGTCGGGCGTCGGTCGGCGGAGAGGCTCCCGGGGGCTCCCCGGGGGCTCCCGGGGGCTCCCCGTTCCGGAAGACCGTCGGGGCGTTGACCCCAGGGAACCCCAAGTACAGTCGAAACTAGGCCAGAAGACCCTCCTTCAAGAACATGAGACCCCCCGCTGGCCAAACCAAACAGGACAAACAAGGGCCCCCTCCCCAGGATGCAAAAGAACGCCCAACAAACACGAAGAACACCAGGGTACCCTCCCCGAACCGACCTCGATCTTATACCTCGGTCCGGCTGTAAGGAACGAGGCCCCTTTTTGTCAACAGTTAAACTTCGACTACCCAATCAGAAGAATCAAAGGAAGCCGAAAGCAAGCTGCGACACAATGAAGGAACACCGAGCCCCTCCCCAACGAGAAGGGTTCCTTCTGCAGCGCCCCGACTGTACCTGGCACTGTCAGGCTCCCGGGGGTCAGGAGGTGTTGGCTGTGGCCAGATCCCTCCGGGCTTCCACTGCAAAAGCTAGCAGGGTCAGGGAGTTGAGTCGACCAGAGAAGAGTGGGGAGCTGGTGTTCGAGAGCACAAGGTCCCCGAGGCTTTGCAACCGCGGTCAGAATGAGATAATGGATTGTAGAGAGAAAAAAGTATTTGCCAGAGAGCACAAAGAAGAGTGGAGCAGAGAGAGAGAGAGAGAGTAGAGAGTAACTATGTGTTAGACAATGGAGTGCGCAAATAATCTGGCGGCAACCGTAAACAGAGTAGCGGGACAGAAAGAGAGGGAGAGGGAGGGACAGAGAGAGACAGAGCGAGAGAGAAAGAGAGAGACGGGGGCGGTGAACACGCGAAGATGAGAACAGGGAGCACACTGTCAAGCTAATGAATGTGGCGTGAGCGGGTGCCGCACAGCGTTTACGGCGATGTTGGAGGTCTGTTGGGCCGTCTTGGGCCACTCATGGGCCTAACAAGACGTCTTGGGGTGATCTTGGAGGCCTTGAAAGCTTCTGGAAACAGCTGGAGCTTCCAGGGGCCTCCAGAGCGACGAAGATGACGAGGCCGAGGAGGGGACATTCGAATGGTGATGACGACGACAACGAAAACGACAATATCGACGATGATGACGAGCAGGAAAATGAGAACGATGATGGTGCTGACGATGAGGATGCTGCTGATGCTGGTGGGCAGGATGAGAAGTAAAAGGAACGCTGTCACTTCACTTCTGCGAGCTCGTTTGGGCCATCCCGCGGTTTCCCTGGGCTCCTGCGGAGCAGCCCTGGAGGTCCCTTGAACTATGGGTCCTCTTGGGCCGTCTTCGGGCTCTCTTGAGCGCTTGGGGGGCTTTTTGTTTCGCCTTCCGCACGGCTTCTTAGGGCCGCCGTGGCGCCGCCTTCATGCCGTCTTGGGCCGTCGACGGGCCCTCCCAGAGAGCGTCTGTCTTAGAGACCTCCTCGGCGGACTTACACAGGATGATGCGTGAAGGGGCGAGAATGCCACCACCTTTATAAAACCGAATAGAAATCAAAACGTTGGGTCTCTTCGGCTCCTCCAGCGAAACTGCGGCAGAGCATGGTGTCTGCCAGCTTTTTTGTTCGGACAGTGTGTGCCAATTTGGTTTTATAATGTCTGGCGTAGTGTGTTGCCAACGGGCGTGCTCTCCCAACCTCCTTTAAGTTCTCGGGCTGCCTGGCATGGAGCGTGGGGCGAGGGAAGGATGCCCTATCCAGCCTCCCCGAGCAGCAGGACTGACGGGCGTGCTCTCCCAACCTCTTTCAGTTCTCGGGCTGCCTGGCATGGAGCGGGGGGCAAGGGAAGAAGGCCACATCCGGCCTCCCCGAGCAGCAGGACTGCTTGTCCCCTGCTGTGCGAGACGACCGGAGCGGTTAAAAGCCCCAGGGCCGGCAAGACGTGGCCGAGCAGCAGCCCCCTCGTCCGCATTCCCAAGGCGGAGGCCCCCAGCAGCGGGGTGGCTGTGCCCGAGTGCACCGCGACCGCTGCGGTTCGGAGCCGCCGAGCCTGACGACCTCGGCAATGCCTTCGAACGGCCTCGTTTTGAGATGGGTGCGCCGCTTGAACGAAGGATTGCAACGAAGGATTGCAAAAAAAGGATTGCAAAAAGAACGAAGGATTGCAAAATCCTTCGTTTTTGTTGCAATCCTTCGTTTTTTTGCAATCCTTCGTTTTTTGCAATCCTTCGCTTTTTTGCAATCCTTCGTTTTTTTTTGCAATCCTTCGTTTTTTTGCAATCCTTCGTTTTTTTGCAATCCTTCGATCATTTGCCCCACGCCCGCGACGCCGCAGACCATCTGAGGGGCCGCCCAACGAGCCAGAACGCCAGGCCAGGGCGCGAGTTCTCACAGGCAAGCCCACCCAAGCAGCCAGCAGTGGACATGGATGAAAACGAAGGGAAGACCCCCAAGAAATATCCATATCCACTACTGCGGCCAGAAAACCCTGCCTGCGAGCCCCTACCACGTACGGTGCCCACAACGCCGTCATATGCACAACCAGACCCTGGTCTGAACCCTTAAGCACGTGGCTCGGGAGCCGGGGCGAAGAGCCTCAACGTAGAACTCGAGCACATAGGACTAGATACATGTGCTGTATCATATGCTGTCCGTACCGTTTGTAACACCAGGTTGCTGTTCTCGCTGCCTCATGCGGCAACGCCCACCTGTCCTGCATCCACGGCCCAATCGCAGCTGAAGGCGATGGCGTGCAACAGATGTTCCAATACGCATACGTGGTCTTCACATTTGTGTTGGATCCGCCAACTGAAAAAAAAACCTCCAAAGATGGGATCACAGCGGCGGTAGCGGTCAAATGTCCGCGGTGGAGAGGAGGGTCGGGGGGGGAAGCCCGGGGGCACCGAGACGTCAGCGCACCTGCCAGTCGTCACGGGGTCGCACTCGAATCGCCCCACCCTGCGCTGAAATACTGCATTGTGCTGCATTGTGGAGGCCTTTGTGCCCTGTCGACAAGACGCCTTGCTACCTATGTTCGACCTGCGGGGGCAGGCGGGGCGATGTCTCTCAGAGAATGGCGCATCGTGGTGTCTTGACGGGTCAAGCGAGCCACGACGTTTGCGTGTCTGTGTGTGGGCGTACATGCCGCGTGCCACGTCTGCCGCTCGTATCTTGCGTGGTGTGCTGCCGCATGTGGGTGAATGTGTGCGCGTGTGTGTGTGTGCGTGCGTGTACGAGGCCCGTGCCTCATCACTTACGACCGGCTGTCC